GGGAGTCTGTGCAAAGAAAACAGTCTATTACCATCTGGATAAAACAAATCAAATGACAAACATGGATATTGGAAAATGTCAAAAAAGGTAAAAAAGTTTATGCATAAAAAGAGAAAATAACATTGCAAAGGGGAGGCATGGAGTCTTGTCACTGCACATGAGTGTTTGCATGCACCCAGACTACAAGCCCTAAGTCTGCTACCCATATTTTGGGCCATGTGATTCCCCCGAAGCAACTGGGTCCAATGGGTTAATAAACTAATATACTAGTGGGCATGACAAGTATTCTTGCAATGCCCATTTAAAATTACAATTTCAAATGTTATGAGGATACTAACTCATATGTGTAGCTTCTTATTCTCTACCTCAAAAGCACTACGTACATTACATTGACCTACATTTCTTTGAAAAAAACATGCATAGTATATGAAGAGAACAGTTTTCTAAAAACATTGAAGATTTTATAAATACTTTGCCTAGGTAAGGTAAAAATATATAGAGCAGTAAATTTATATGACGTTGAAACTCATTGCCTAATATTTTATTATGACAAGTTTGTAAAAGAAGTGTTGATATCATGAATGTCTGGAGAAAATAAATAACACAAATATCATAAGGGTAATCTTTACAAGTATGCTTAGTAACTGCTGTATAAAAGAACATCAGCAGTAGTGTTCTTCCTTTTAATTTGAGTTTCTTACAGTGAATTTTCCCAGGTTTGTGACATAAAGAAAACAGTAACATTATAATTTCAATTTGAATTCAAGATCATTCTGGGTGATCTATTTCCTAAACATACAGAAAGCTCCATTTATCATTTGAGATGATGGCTGAGGCTCTTATTACAAGCAAAATAACTATCTTCAGAAATGCATATGCTCTTTTTCATAAAAAACTGCTAGTTTCCTATAGCACAAAATTCACTTTAACAATCATAAACAAATATAAAACTTGGCTGCATCTGAAACATGAACTACTGTCTGATTACATCTTAATTTGCTTCTGCCTGTACTTTCACCCGGTGCCGACAGGTAAAATTGTTTGGCAAGTGGACGTAAGAACGGGATTGTTGGCACGCATCGGTAGTTACCCTGTTTACACCTGGCTCGATTGGTAGTTTGCAAGCAACACTTGGCACCTAAAAGCTTTTATTTTGCTATAATTTATAAAAATAAAGTAATTTTAAAGGTTTACCTTCATTATAGGTACCACTGCCTAAAATTTTTACCATATAAATGAAGCCGCTACTATCGGAGAAAACTCCATCCGATGAGCTAGTGGTGCGGCAATGGGCATGATACGATGCCATCCGTTTTTCGGTCCACAACAGCCATGGCATATATGTATATGCCACCCATCGGCCATGGGTTAATAAACAGAAAATTATTGAAAATGCTACAGAGTCACTATAAGCATGAATGACTAACCTTGGCGCACATTTTCCTCACTCTGACCAACATACATGTTAAGTAGTTCTGGTCCTTTCACAGAAAGGAAATTCAAACCACATTCTGTAGCAACGGCCTTAGCAAGAAGAGTTTTGCCCGTGCCTGGTGGCCCATACAGCAACACTCCTGTTAAAGCATCAAATATAAATATGAAAAAATGAGATAAAATAAATCAAACTTGTCTACAATTATTAATTGTACCGAATAACATAGCAAAAATAAAAATAAAACAAAATAATAATAATATGAAGAAGAAAAAGAAGAAGAAAAAAGGCAAAATCTGTAGATATCATTCTCACAGGAAAGAGAATCTCATATAAAAATAATACTCTTCAAAAATTCAGAATATTTTTGGTACCAATGCTCTACACATACCAGAACGGCGAAGCTTATTTGACACCAAAGATGGATGACGCAGAGGCAACTGGATAGTATTGATAACTTGACGCTTTGCCTCTTCTAATCCACCCACTTCATTCCATTTCACTTGTGGAATACGTGGAGCACCTAATGCCTCACTGCGACTAGACTGCAATTCATCTGGTAATAAATAATTGTTTAATAAATATCTAAAAGATGATTTTTCCCCTCTCTCTATAACATTGCTTTATTTATTATCTTTTTATACATGGAAAGGACAACAAGACCAAGACGACGACGAAAAAAAAAAAAAAGAAAAAAAAAAAAAAGAAGAAAACTTTATTTAAAGAAAAAATAATAATAATAAATGAAGAAAATGCAGTCATACATAGAATTCCTCCTTTATAAATAGCCAATTAAATTTATTATAAACATTTTGGTGACATTCTCTTAAAGTTTCTCAAGGCAAGAGAATATGATCTAAGGTAATATGAGGCTAATGAAAGTACTGATTATATGTACAATAACAGCTACAAAAAAACATACATACCTAAAGCCTTCACAACATCCTCATACATCAGAGTGGAGCATCTTTCAGGGTTATTCTGTTTTTTCTCCTGTGTAGTTCCTTTGTCTTCAGAGGTTTTTGTGCGATCCAAAGAGATCCTGAGAACAAAAAATTAAGCATTACCTATACATCAAATGAATAATATTAAAGTTTCTAGCACACATGCCTATACCCGTACTCAATAGGGATGTTTGTAAAAAATATATACACATACAGATATGATTCTATATACATGTATCAGGTACCCAATCAAATGTACATATGCACATGAAATTCAATAAAAAAGCAGACTGAGATAAAAGGAATCCAATGATAGAAAGTGAAACAATTTCAGAAGATGGAAATTCTGACAAAAAAAATCAACAGACATTTAGGAATAGTAAAAACTGTTTTGTATGATAAATGTATATGAAATTTGGCTCATAAGAGAGACAATACATAAATGAATAATGAAAATACTTTGAGAAGAGCAGGCATACACTAAAGAATAAATATAGAAGATAATCAGCAAGAGGCAAGACCAACCGTCATGACATCGAGAGCAGAAGAACGAGAAAGTGACAGTGTACGGTGTAGCACACAAGCAAAAGTAAGGCAATCCAACATTAAACACCAACATCAAATTAGTAAGAACTGCAAAGAAATGAGATAGCTGATAATATCAAGTGCCAAGCACTTCAGTAAGGTAAGATAAGAATGCCAAGTATAAGCTGAAAAATATATATGCAGATGTTCTTACTCAGGCACTGTTCATTTCTAAATTCTTATCATTATCCCAATAACCATAATAATTACAAAAAAGTTGTATTTACTACTCTTTCCTCTATCCCTGACTCCCTTTTCTCATGCTTCGTCCTTTCCCCTATTTGTTTTTTTCTTTCTTTCTATCACACTTTCTCATTCTTCCTCTCTTTTCTCCCCTTTTCTTTCTTTATTTATTTTTCTTTTCTGATCTCTGCATATCTCTTCCAGTTCATTTCTATATCCTTTTCACTTTTCAATGTGGCTGCATACCGGTTACGCTACAAAACAGACATATTATCTGCATTCATCAATGGACAAAATCTCTTTGGTATGGTATACCAAGTATATCTAGTATGTACAAAAATATGCAAAAGCAAAAAACATGTTCACACTCATGGAGGGATCTATCCTAGACTGTTACCAAATTCAGCTTCCCCACCTGATTCTTTCTCAACAGTAATATTATTTGGAACACTGCCATAGGCTATTGTAATCATACTAGTTTCCTTACAAGTTTACAAATACACTTTCTGTGTTTCTGTAAATACATAGTCATGATGAACTTCTTACAATCTGGCGGCGTGGGATCAAATCCCGAACAGAGAAGTTAATATATTCAACTTCTTTGTAGTAACTCTTTTGCAGATATGTAGTTGACACAATTATATATATGAAAAAATCAAGAAAACATGAGAAAAGAGATATGAAGCAAGACTAATTATATTTTTTTCTTACTGCTGATATCAATTTCTGCTCTGACAATATGGATCCTCCACAGTTAAAGAATTAAGCCCTAAAATCCTATTTGCCACAATCATGCCATCATGCACAATCTGTCAAGGAGTGGGTGGCTGATTTCTTACATAATTTCAGAATGAATGAAATGCATGTCCAGCAGTTTCCTCCGTCCATACAAGTTCTATTGCTTTATATGTTTTATCTGCATATTCTGTAACTTTTACTCACTTTCACTCTGACAAAAGTGGAAACTATGATAATCTTTTAAGCTCTCAAGTCCCACTGTGTGATACATATTTGGTATATGTGTTAAATCAAGTTCTCAAAACTACATTGGTGAAAAACTGGATGTTTATAGGGAGGACGGGACATACCAGTCAGTGTTAAGAAAATATATTCTCAAGAACAATTCTTATAAGTGATGCAGGTTTATCAAAGAGTTCTTCTCATTTTATTCATTGTCATGCATGTCATTTCATACTATTTCCTGTCATGATTCTTTCTCTTATTCTGAGACAGAACATAAAAGAATCTTAATAAATCTAGGCTGGAGATAATACAGTCAAGTATAGATCACAAGATAAAATCATAATCAGCAAGTGAAGCAATGATGCATCATCAGTAGGATGTTTGAATTGCATGTACATACATGCCTTGTACACTTTTATGTTAGTTTATAAATTTTGTTTATACACTGATAGCTCCATAATGCTTAGTCACCAAAGAATCAATTACTTGTCCTATCTGTTTGCACCTGTTTACCTATTTCCTTGATTTCTGGAAAGATTTTTTTTCTTTATTTCTTATTACATTAGGCAAATAGCTTATGATTTTGGTAACGTTGCTTAATTTGTTGGTAGGCTGGTTGGATAACTCAAAAACTTATAAACAGATTTCTTATTAAATCTTTAGCAGAGGTGTGTCTTAATTCTCATGGTGTTTGGATCATGATCCAGATCCTGCATGGGATAACTCATAAAAATTATGAACAGATTTGTATAAAAAAAATTACCAGGGGGTGTGCCTTATCCCAACTTAAATGCCAGCAAATTTTTGTGGTGATCCAGATCATGTTCTGGATCCTGGAATTCTTTAAAGGATTCATTAGCAATGTAAGACAAGGAAATACGGACATCACCAGTGTACTTGATAAAGAGATGATTTTAATGGAATTCTTCAAGTGTGAATACTTTTATTGCATCAGTGACCTTATAGCCTTGGTGGAGATATGCACTCTCTGAGTGCTTCTAGTTGCTATTAGTATCAATAACAATATTATATCATTCCCAATGTCAATAATAATAAAATAACAGTAATGACATATTGTTTTAGGATATATAAAACCATTTTCTGGAAATAAACAAATGGAGACTTCAGATAAGGTCATGTAGGCCTACTTATTCAGTCCCTAATGACTAAGAACTTGTGAAGCCTTCAAAGCGTAAAAAAAAATTCATAAATCAAACTACAGTGAACAGTACAATTACCCAGTGCCAATGGCTTCACAGTCAATAAATGCATCTTATCTGAGTCACAAACATACACTACCATAAATCTCTCAAACAAAGACTGACTTGTGAATATCTCTAAAAGACTATATTGGAGATAATATGAATTGACTTTGTAAAAAAAACTAAGGATGGACAAAAATGACTGGCTAATCTATAATACAAAGAAAAGAGGTAAAGAGGGAAGGGCATTATATATCTTCTGACCTCTGAGCAGCACCAAAAAGAGCCTGCAAGTCTCCAAACACAAAACCAGCAGTGCGCTGAGCCAAAGTCAGAAACTGGTGCTGCTGTAGCTGTTTGGAGAGAAGCCACTCTAGCATCTGTCTACGTTCCTCTAATTCAGGTACATCTATGCACTCTTGATGGCTCCATATACTCCAAAGGTCCTCTGCAAAAGGTTATAAAAAATCACACAATTACCAGTACCTACATTTACAGTGCAATGCTATAGTGTTATTTCATAACAAATGAATTTAACCACTTAACTTACTTATGATCATTTAAACATCACATATATGCAGGCAACAGCTATTAGATACTATGCTACTTTTCCTAAAGATAGATACTATATGACTGTACAACTTCAGAATATCAAGAAAGAATAATGGAAAAAAAATTCATGCTAACCAGAAACCTGTGTCCGGTGCGGTGCTGTGCCTATCAGGATTACAGGTGGTTGCAAATCTGGTAATTTGGCAACCTCTTCCTTCAAGGCTGCCACCACACGAGCATCTTCACCTCCATCTCGATCCTGAAAATTCTGTCATTATTTCATATGGCCTATATTATATTCTAATTTTCAGTTTCTTTTCCTAATTTACATTCAATAGAAACAAAACAATGAGGTATAAAGGATAAATATAGAGACAAACATATATGAACATGAAATAAATTTACTGAAACTATTATTATAATACTACTACTAAAGATCAACTTCTTTCCTGCTTGACAAAACAGAAATTACCTTTGAAATAGCTTGAACACTGGTGAGGGCAAGAACACATGGAGCTTGCCCTATTGCTCTTGAAAAGATCTGACGTAACCTTGCCTCCGTGCCACCACTTGTGTCTCCTTTCAAGTGCCAGCAGTCTGCCCATACAACACTGAGGTTCAATGAGGATGCTGACAGCTCTATAATCTGTTCACTTCCACTACCTGGAGCCCCTAACATAAGTATATTTGCACCACCGGTTCTGTGTTCTCTCTCTAAATTTCCTAATGAACTTTTCTGCATTCTATACTTTTTTCTCTTCATATTCTCACTAAGATGCCTCTCTCCTGATAGCACTTCTTGCTTCCTTTCTCTTAGCTCACTTTGCAGAATATTTGTTACATTGTTGAAGGTTCTTTTTAAAACTGGAGGAACATCAACTGTGCCACCTTTATCAAAATTTTTACAAAGTGGCGGAAGATAACAATGGGTTGTGCCAACTAAATAAAGGTTTGTTGTTTCTGTAGAAATCAATAATGATTCCTTGGTTTTACTACCCTGATCTTTTTGAAGAACTGACATTCTGATGAAGATATACTTTGGGGGTATTACTGAAGTGCCTGCACTAAATTCATAGCCCAAGTGATTTGGTACTGGAAGACCAATTATGTCTCCAGCAGCTGCTAATTTAGGGGTTCTGAAAGCATCGGATAGTAGTACTTCCAGCTCACTTCCACATTTATAGTCTGGTGACTCAACAATCTGCACATGCACTTCTGTTGCAGTTGAAGGTGAACTTTGCACCAAGGTTACCTTTTCACTCTCCCTTACAGCATATGCTTCTTTCCACAGTGTCAAAACTCTTTTTACATGTTCAGAAATTAGCATGTTGCTTATACTATCATCAAATTCCAAACTCCACATCTGATCATGATTGCCATTCTGTAAGTTATGAAATAATATCGGAGAAAGCAAACAATGATCGTCATCTATATCAGAATGTATGTTAACTCTGATCCATCTTCTCTTTATTATCTGTAAGTTTGGTGCTCTCATACACATACTACCAATAAAGAACACATTATACCATTCTCCATTTTGAACTCCATAAATAATGGCCTTTCTTTCACTAATGAAGACATCAGCATTTAGGTCAGGTTCTAATCCTGGAGATGAAGCAAGAAGAGTATTCAGCTTCTT